TATAGTTGTGAGTTGTAGTCCAATTAATAACTAACTGAATATCGGTTAGATGTATATGAACCGACTGTATCATCGATATTGGGCATTACTGAGCTGATATACAAAATTCTGTTCTTTCTCTCCCAACCGCTTTACCTTCTTTTCAGTTTGTTATGAATGTTCTTCCTTATCTTTACGTTCATAACACTATTCTTTTGAGGTTAATTAATATAGGTTCGAAATAGTACGTGCAACGGTGCAAGAACATATTTGAAATTAGATTTTATCATCGACCTAGCTATGTGTATGTATGTTGCTAAAAAGACAATATTCCTTTGTGTGTGAGTTTTCTAATGTATGTTAATGATGACATGAGAAACAATAAAGGATTATTAGAACTTGTATATACTTTCCTAATTTTTAGATAGTAGGAGAAACTTTACTGATTTTTTTAATCACTTATTTATATGTGTCATAAATTGTCAAATTTTTAGTATAGTTTGAAAATAAAACAAAGCTGCATCACAAAATAAAAACTTTTAAAATAACATTCTCGTGTGGTTGGGTTTTGTTAACATTCATATCTACTCACAATTACGTGTGATACACATTTCTTTTGAAACTTGTGTGTTTGGTGGATTGCTCGTTAGAACTCAATTCCTCATTAGAACTTAACTAGTTTTAGTAACAAATCAACATTTGAATAAGCTAACAGAAATAAATAGTCTTAAGAGTTATGATGCGTGATCGCACAAGGTAGGAAAGTTCAATTTTGTCATTCTATTTTTCGATCTATTGTGTCCTTAAGTTGCATGTTTTGGGACGAATCGAAGGAAGTAATCTATCAGAGTATTTGCAAGCAATCTATTGTGTCCTTAAGTTGCAAGTAAATTGCAAATAATTTTGAATATTTTCTTTAATATATTCAGAGTATTAATGAAATGGTAATCTATATATCATATATTGCATTAGTGTATAATTTTAATATATAATTTTGATTTTGAATATCATGAAAATCAAAATATGAATATGAAATTTGATATCAATGTATAATAAATGGGACCCCATATGAAATTTATGAATCTTCCACTATACTTCGTATTAGGCTATGAATATTATATTTTGGTTCCCAGGATTGCCAATAATATCTTATCGTGTATTAAAATTATCATATGAGGCGAAGTAGGCTGTTACCAATAGTTTTTTGTTTTCGTACTTTACTTTCTATCGTATTTAAAAACAATATACAATACTGAGTATGATCTATTGTGATTCATAAACGTGGTAAATTTTAGTCTGAAAATAGCCGATAGTTAACACAAGCGTCACATTTAATACAAAGTTTGAGAGTACAAAAGCGTATGTAGATACGTAGTATAAATGTAAAAGGGTTAATTAGAATTGGATACTCTTTTTTGCACGGAAGCTAATTTTGTAAAAGTTAGATTTACTTTGTTTCTATATACTTAAATGCAGTATTGAAATATATTTCGATTTGAATATGATGGGACCCCATTGCTTAGTCTTTTCCATTTTCTTTTGAACTAACTATGTCAAATAGACTTGCACAAAACCGGGCCGGCCCGCCCAGCCCGCCCGGCCCGCCCGGCCCGCCCATATAAATGGGCGGGTTTGGACACACAGTTTAGCCCATCGGCCCGGCCCGGCCCGGGCCCGTTTAAATTATGGGCAGACTTGGATTCTAATATAGGCCCGGCGGGCCTAAAAGCCCGGCCCGTTAAATGTGTGTATACATATATACACCAAAAATTACTATCATTAAGGAAGGCCAACATGAAACCTTAGCAGAGCTACTGCTATTAGATCGGACCAATAAAGTAGTACCCTGTGTTAGTTAAAACTTGAACTGTTTTGTACTAGACACCTATCAAGTCTTTTAAGATACTTTTATGCTTTGACTATTCTCATTGCACATTCTGATTGTACTTTTATTTATTGTTTGCACATTGTGATTAAATTTTTAAATACTGATGTTAGTTCTAAATTTGAATGGTTTTTATTTTTCAGAATCGTGTGTGTATTTCATAAAAGTATTTTACAAACGTTTACGATTTAAAAAAAAAAATAGAAAGAGGATAATTTTTTCGGGCCCGAAAGCCCGACGGGCAGCCCGGCCCGCTCTTTTGGGCGGGCTTGGACATATGAGGAGGCCCGTTGTACCGGGCCGGGCTGGGCCCGCCCACTACAAATGGGCAGATTTTTTAGAATAAGCCCGGCCCGAGCCCGGCCCGAACCCGCGTTTGTGCATGTCTAGTAGCAAATAAATAATTTGTGCAAAGTGTTTGTACAACAAATCACTTTGGACAAATCACCCTAATGACCTTACGCCCGTAATAAAAACTAGTCGATAGTAGTGGTGGAATCGAGTCGGGCCGCCCGGCCCGGAACCGGCCCGGACCGGTACTGTTTGTACCCGGCCCGGTTGGCTAGTCTCCGGGCCGGTTCGGGCCTACCCAACCGCTCAGATCCCGATGCGGTCTCGGGCCCCATGAAATGTGAACCGGCCCGACCTGGTCCGGGCCAATAACAGCTCTTTTTTTAAAAAAAAATTAAATAAAAAAACCTCCTAGCCGTTGGGACTGTTCCCAAACGGCTCTATAGCCGTTGGAGGCTTAGGAGGGGGTCCGGGGGGTTTTGGGAGTGTGGGGTGGGGGTGTGGTGGGGGGTTACAAAAAAACCTATTTATACTCATATTTTCTATACAATTTTTACACCTCTTCTCCTACTCTTTATACTCTCTAATTCTCTATTCTCTCATACTCAATATTCTCCATCTTCATCTTCTACAATTCTCTCTACATATATATATTATTTATATAATTATTATAACTACTTATATATTAATTATCTACTTATAACTACATATATTATATTACTAATCTTTATTATCTACTTAATATTTACTTGATATTTACTTATTATCTATACTTATTGTTATTTACTTATATTTACATAGTACATTAAGTTAATATATACTTATATATATTAAAGTATTAAGTATAAGTGTATTACTCATCTTATAGTGATATACTTATATATCATGATGGGTGCCCTTGATACCAACTGAGTTCCAATTGAGGTAAAAGTCTAGGGGGTGAATAGACTTTTAAAATCTTTTATGTTTTGATCCCCTTTTCCTCTAACTGGATGTGTTTCAATATCTTTTGGGAGATGTTGATACATGCAACGGAAGTCTTGACCTCGAGAGGATGACACTTTATAGGAACAAATGTTATGACCCTTTTAATTGTGAGAGAGAAGGATTAAACATTAAGCAAGTGTGTTTGCCAGAAATAGATGACTCTAGGAGCAGGCTGTCGAAACCTAAAGGAGATGGCTGCCAGAAAGCATTGGGATCGAGCTGACTGCCAATCCTTAGGAGCTGACTGCCGAAATAGTCTTTCTGTTTGTTTAGTTAAAGTGTAGCAATGAACTTTACTCTAACCACTTAACTGACTTTAGAACTAGTCTAACACAAGAGTATGAAAGATTTAGACCAACGAAGATAGGTCACTTTGAAGAATAGATAACAAGGAGATGACTCACAGTGGACTGGAAAAGTTACGTTCACTGGATAGTTTAAGTGAGCAAGTTTTTTTTATTTGTGCCGTTGTGAAGGTGAGTGAGAACTGAAATAAGTGTTAGGTGCATAATGTAAAGATGACACACGGTGTATGTTCAGGGGTGGTGTAATCCCCCTACATCCAGTCCCAACTTATTTCAGATGGATTTTTCATTAAATGTATATCCCATTACATTTAGTACCCAATCTACCCTTGGCCCAGGCGTAGATTGTTAGGTTTTTCACAAGGAACTTAAACACCGTTCCAAGCTACTCATGTCCTCCCAAGGTTTTTCACTAATTACATTGACTCGCCAAGAGTTACTCATGTCCTTGCCCTTTCTCACCTTTTGGATTTGATCACCAAGCCCCCCAGAATGTCTAACACTAGTCTAGATTACATGGGTATAATATCTTAACTACCAACTAGTTTAAGCTCTATTAACTTGTATGAATTGTAGTTAGTCTAAGAGCATTAGACGAGTGGGGTGGTAGCCAAAGTGTAGAAGGGAAATCAGCTGGCTGGATATCTTCGTGTAGTATGATTTCTTTCTATCCACTTGGCCCCTCTCGTTTTACCACACTTGGTAGTCCCGCACTGCTGTATTTATAGACTTGATCACTTCATCTTCACCGCTGGCTGAGAAAATGAATCTTGACCGTAGCTTGATCTACTTGCTTTGTTCCAGTTAACTGAGGCAGCATGGTTATTTCTTGTCACGTAGTGACACGGATCAACAATCTTCAGCTCAACTTGTTTACACATTTCAATGCAAGATAAAATATATTTTATCTTTATTTTCTTACGTAAAAACTAGTATAAAGTTGAGTGATATTTCAATGCTACCTACAACGAACGAACACTTGCTTTTGTAAAATAAATTTGTAAGAAATTTATAATGTGTTTAAAATCTCTTATAAATTTACTTTTTATCAAATTCTTCTTTTGTCTGCAAGTTGGTCTTTTGTCTAAGTGTTTTGTGCTAAGAGAAGAGAGAATTGGATTTCGGATGCTTTAACTGGATTTCAGCTGCCAGACTTGGGAGCTGACTGCCAAAATCTGGGTTTTCCAGTAGGCTTCCTAACAATATGTACCAGTTAACTCTTTTCATACCTTTTTCTTTTTTTTATCTTTTTCTTCATGTTTTATGGTACGTTTAACTTCTCTTTTTAGTACCCTTTGCTTTTTATGAGTACTTTACCACTAAATATGGAGCACATTACAATTATACAAAGTAGAACACAGTAGTAGACTAGTCTAATACAGGAATAATACAAAGGAGTGGCGTCATCAAAACTATTACATTATCATCAAAATCTAGGGGACCTAACATATTATATACTATAAACATTATATTATATATTAGTTATATAATTATTATATCCACACATTCATACTTATAGTAATATACTTAGAAATAATTACATAAATATGATCAAAATATAGATGATTTACAAAAATATTACTAGTGACTATGTCACGCCCCGGACCTCCCCGGACACGTCAACAACCCGCCGTACAATACGAATAGTCAACCGCAGTCCAACACATTCATATTATACAAGGCGTCTTGAATATCATTCACACACATAACATCCATAAACAAACATAATAAGTAATTCGTAACGCAGCGGAAAACATTGTTTAAAACAAAAGGGCCACACAGGGCTATTCATGAGCACGCAGGCTCTATAGTAAAATATCCATGAGCATGTTTAATATTGTTCAAAACAGAATGGAGAAAGCACGAACCACGTCTTCTCTCCAAAGGATCACCCGAGCAACGGGCACAGATAGCAAGCTCGAGCTTCAACCTGAAATGGTGGTGGGACGCCCCCGAAGGGGTCAGTACTCTATACGGCTATAAAGTACTGGTGTGGATGGCATCTAAGGGATATACAACAAGTATTTCAAACACAAGACCCTCAAATAGGGTGATAATACAATATAGTGGTAACCCTAAGTTACCCCGTTTTAAAAATATATACTTACTTTATATAAAAGTCAAGTAGTCGGCCCGTGGGCCCATGTTCATTTAGAAATCACCATTCCCATTCTCCGTGACTATGAGCCACGACAATTCATAGAGTTCATTACATTACCATTGCATAGCAAGGGCTCGGCCCAACTACATTTCTATGCAATCCTTTATGTCAAGTTCGTTATATTACATTTGCATCCTACCACATTTGCATAGCAAGGTCTCGGACCAACTACATTTCTATGCAAATCACAATTTACATGGCAAGGTCTCGGACCAACTACATTTCCATGCAAATCACAATTACATCCTATCACATTTGCATAGCAAGGTCTCGGACCAACTACATTTCTATGCAAATCACAATTTACATGGCAAGGTCTCGGACCAACTACATTTCCATGCAAATCACAATTACATGGCAAGGGCACGGCCCAACTACGTTTCCATGTAATCTTAGAGTCCGGCTCTAATTCTTCATTATAGTCCAATTCCTAAGCAACTCTATGCCTAGAATTGACATCTCAATAATCTACCTTGGGTCATTCTCAATGACCGCCCATAACTTGCCCTTAGTTTCATACTAAGTCGTTTTATACACTTGAAGTACATTCAAGTTCATTCCATACAATCCAATACTTAGGATCAATTCTATCAACAATTTCAAATAATCACTAACTAGTATTTTCAATACTATTAAGATTATTGTCATTATACAAATATCTTCATTTGTAATTCTCTACATATTTATAAGTATGTAGCATCAACTTAAATATTCAACTTCAATACATAATATCCATTTATGTATCCACATATTTAATACATGAGTAAAATTCCTATTTCGCAAAATAGTTCATTTATAACTCATTTAATCTCTCCTATTATACATACATCCTCAAATCATTTCCAATTTCATTCTTTGGGAACTATATCAATATTTCATCAATATTTAATCATCATAATCCATGAAAAATTATGATTTAGGCATTTAGGTAATCTCATGCTTAACCTACAAGTTGTAAGCAATTAGATGTCGATCCTCACCTTAATTGAGCTTTAAACTCTTCCTTCTTGATCCAATGGTCAAAGCTTCGGTCAAGGTGGGTTAAGAACTTATTCCTTGCTTAAATATGATTGTTAAACAGCCTCTTCAAAGTGCTAGCTCAACCCCTAAATGTCGATACAAAAACAGCCCCTAGAACAGGCGCTTTTCCGGCGAATTCGTTCCCTAGCCTTTCAAGGTTTTGTCTAGGTTAGTATCTAACCTTTCCAACAAATAAAGTCACTATATAATAACATATTATACACTTCAACAAGTTTATAATAGCTCTTCAATCATCCATATGATTTAGACAATAGAGAGGAAGGTTTTGGATTCAAACTTACTTTGAATACAAAAACGTAATCTGCGAGGTTGCGTTTTGTTCGGACGATTTGGAGGTCTTCCGCTACTCCGTTTTCTGCAAACCACGCCTTCACGGTTTCCTCTTCTTGAGAGCTTTCTTTGGGCACCTCACACGCCTTATTTGGATAAGTATAGCTCGAGATATGAACCAAACAAGCAACCCAACGCACTGGAAAATGGACCTGCGGCAGCTTCCCCTTTCTCTTGCTCTCTTGGTTGTGTGGCTCTCTCCTTCTCCCTTATCCTTGGGAGTTCGAATGAGGGGTGAGGGGGAGGTGTTTAGGAGCTCTCAAAATGATATCTAAGCATGTGGTTCACAAAAAGAAAGGGTAGGGTGTTTGATTGCAATTAAACATGGTGTGGACCTCCTCTTTTATTTTCCTTTTTGTAATGTTGTAGCTCTCAAGTCAAATGTCCGCCCCACATAGTTGTCTCACCCATTTTTCTTTGTCTTGCAGGTACCAAGGTCATGTGGGATGGTTCCCAAATGATCCCATTCAATTTGGGGTCCAAAATACCTACCAATACTTCCAAAATGAAAAGATGGACCCTATTGTTTTATCCTTGTCATGAGATGTCTTTTTGTACTCCTTATAATTTATATAGACCAAGTCAACTCCCTACATCATTTTATTGGTCTCAACCATGTGTAGGATCATCCCAATAATTTACATGATGAATACTATAGAAGAAAAACCTACTCCCATTATTTAGCTCAATAATGTCAAAGATGGGGCTATAGGCATTTGTATTCTTCCTTAGTCATTCTATCACTTATTTTGACATTTTTCATACATATTATTGGGCTAATAACCGTGTGGGTCACTCCCGAGTGGGTCTAGGACGCCATTCTCGAATACTTGCTATTTTTAGCAGGTTGGGCCCAAATTAATGTTTGGGCCGCCCGACCTTCCTCAAATTGTCTTGAAAGATTATGTAACATTATTTAGATAATGTTGGGCTCTTATGTTCATTATTAAGGCCCAAATAAGTATTTGCAAACCCGATACTAATATACGAGTTTGAACAATACAAAAATCAATCATGCGCTACGTAAAACATTAATCGTTTTACAATTGTTTGGAAACCGAAAATTCAATACATAGAATTTTTTTTTTTTATATTGAGTTTTTCAAGGACGTTCGGGTGCGGTGTCACAGACTAGAGTAATAATGAAATCATAGTAATTCATGTTCAAGTTTTGAGCTTAAGTCACCACAACCAGAGGCGGATCTACCCTCAAGGTAATGGGGGCACTTGCCCCCAATAAACTCCATTTTTTTTATTATGTAATATAATAATTTTGTATCTTAAAAAAACTGCCCCCATTAAATATTTTGTGATGCCCCCAATAAAGTAATTACAATACCTCATATTCCATGTACCATTTTAAGTTACTAAAGCAACCATGTATAACTATCATTGTGTTTATTATATTGTTCGAAGCAAATTAAATTGAGGAAAATCAAGTAATATAAAATTATGAGAACATAAAATTGATGTGTATAATGTATATAATCGATTCTAAATGAGATAAAATTAATTTAATATAATTTTAATGATGTTGTTTTGTCAATGTTAAATGCCTAAAAAGAGGTTTCAAAGTTCAAACAATATTCAAGATAAAATTTATTTAGTCATAAATAATGAATAAATAAATTTTAATTAAAAGTGAATGAAAGAATCTTGTTTTAACGCAAAAATTATTAGAATAGTATTTCAAAAATGTTGTTTAGTTTTATACGGCATATTATTAATGAAATTTAGCCCTTTTTAATTGCATAATTATAGAAGTTAGCGAATTAGTCATGCAAGAATTTGTTTGGTACAATCGAAATGACTTGTTCTATTTAATGATAATCCTTATTAACTATTAAAATCAATTAAAAAAATGAAAAAACATATAAAAAGGTACAATCGAAATGAGATATCAAGTGTGTTAAAAAGAGAAAATTTCCTAAAATAGGATTAAAACAAAATTTAAGTTCATATAAATATGAATATCTTTGTTTTAATCTCAAATTTTGACTCATTCTCTCATTTTTTGGGAAGTTTTAATTTCTTTATTTTTTTAATAGGACTAAATACTATTAGGGGAATAAAACATATGTAATCCTTTTTTTTTAATTTTATATATGTTTTAGTACTATATTGATCAATTTCTATATAAAATGCATTAGAAATATTAAATTCCTACTTTAAAAAATCACTAGACATATAAAATCTAGTACTCCGTAATTTATATGCTAAATCATATGGAGTACGCATAACTTATATGCTAACTTATAATTATACGTAGTACTAAGTGCGTTCCGCTCAAGTCTGCCAAATACTATTCGAATACTTCCTAAATTTCTTAAAACTTTGCTAATTTTGCTTTTACGATTGTCTCACTAATTTTGTCATTTTCCTTATTGGGTAAAGAATTTGTGATTTCAGATAATTCTCTCTCCTCTGCACAAATTTCAACTACACCGTTTTTACCTTATTCATCTCCTTGCCGGTCAATCTTGACAAAGTTATAAAGGACGGAGAGAGTGGAATAGTAAAAATTGTGTGGTTCAAATTCGTGCAGACAAGATAGAAATGAACAGAGTCACAAGTTCATTGCTTTAAAATGAAAGTGACAAAGTTTTGGGACAAACAAAAAAGAAACGTTAATAGTCCGGTGGGAGAGATGTAGTGTAAGATAGCGCCCCCAATACATATTTTTCCTGGATCCGCCATTGACCACAACACCACATTGTAGTAACGAATAGTCATATTTATGTAAATAAGTTTTATTTTAGTAATATTCTTATAAAAAACCCATATACTTATATATTATATACTATAAACAATATATTATATATTAGTCACACATTCATACATTTTTTCTATTACTTACATTTTTAACTAATACTAGTTAATTGGTACATCTCTATTGTCTAAATCATTGATTTAGACAATAGAGAGGAAGGTTTTGGATTCAAACTTACTTTGAATACAAAAACGTAATCTGCGAGGTTGCGTTTTGTTCGGACGATTTGGAGGTCTTCCGCTACTCCGTTTTCTGCAAACCACGCCTTCACGGTTTCCTCTTCTTGAGAGCTTTCTTTGGGCACCTCACACGCCTTATTTGGATAAGTATAGCTCGAGATATGAACCAAACAAGCAACCCAACGCACTGGAAAATGGACCTGCGGCAGCTTCCCCTTTCTCTTGCTCTCTTGGTTGTGTGGCTCTCTCCTTCTCCCTTATCCTTGGGAGTTCGAATGAGGGGTGAGGGGGAGGTGTTTAGGAGCTCTCAAAATGATATCTAAGCATGTGGTTCACAAAAAGAAAGGGTAGGGTGTTTGATTGCAATTAAACATGGTGTGGACCTCCTCTTTTATTTTCCTTTTTGTAATGTTGTAGCTCTCAAGTCAAATGTCCGCCCCACATAGTTGTCTCACCCATTTTTCTTTGTCTTGCAGGTACCAAGGTCATGTGGGATGGTTCCCAAATGATCCCATTCAATTTGGGGTCCAAAATACCTACCAATACTTCCAAAATGAAAAGATGGACCCTATTGTTTTATCCTTGTCATGAGATGTCTTTTTGTACTCCTTATAATTTATATAGACCAAGTCAACTCCCTACATCATTTTATTGGTCTCAACCATGTGTAGGATCATCCCAATAATTTACATGATGAATACTATAGAAGAAAAACCTACTCCCATTATTTAGCTCAATAATGTCAAAGATGGGGCTATAGGCATTTGTATTCTTCCTTAGTCATTCTATCACTTATTTTGACATTTTTCATACATATTATTGGGCTAATAACCGTGTGGGTCACTCCCGAGTGGGTCTAGGACGCCATTCTCGAATACTTGCTATTTTTAGCAGGTTGGGCCCAAATTAATGTTTGGGCCGCCCGACCTTCCTCAAATTGTCTTGAAAGATTATGTAACATTATTTAGATAATGTTGGGCTCTTATGTTCATTATTAAGGCCCAAATAAGTATTTGCAAACCCGATACTAATATACGAGTTTGAACAATACAAAAATCAATCATGCGCTACGTAAAACATTAATCGTTTTACAATTGTTTGGAAACCGAAAATTCAATACATAGAATTTTTTTTTTTTATATTGAGTTTTTCAAGGACGTTCGGGTGCGGTGTCACAAGTTCACCCCCCCCTTAACAGGAATTTCGTCCCCGAAATTCGCAACTCTACTCAAATAGGGAAGCATACTACTCCCTCATCAAAGCCTCTATTTCCCATGTCTCTTATTCGACGCGATCGCTCTTCCAAGGACTTTAACCATTGGGACTTCTTTACTCCTCAGTTTCTTCACCTTTCTATCAATGACCTTAATCGGTTGCACAGCGTAGTTCACATCCTCACGTACCTCTACAGGCGGATATACATCCAATTGGGCTCTCAATGCCCTCAAACTAGTCAGCAATGCCTCAGACGAACTCTTCTGACTGAGGGCATCTGCTACAACGTTTGCCTTACCTGGATGGTACTCACTAACTAGATGGTAGTCCTTTATCAACTCCATCCACCGTCGTCGTCTCATGTTTAACCCCTTTGAGTACACACGTATTTCAAGCTCTTATGATCAGCGTATATGTGACACGGCTCTCCGTAGGGATAGTGTCTCCAAATCTTCAATGCAAACACCACTGCTCCCAGCTCTAAATCATGAGTAGGATAGTTTACCTCATGCTTCTTCAACTGTCGTGAAGCATAGGCGACTACCCTCCTCATCTGCATCAACACATATCCAAACCTTTGGATGCTTGCGTCACTATAGACATCGTACCCCACACCCCGTTTGGGTAATGCAAGTACCGGTGCCTCGGTTAACCTCTTCTTCATTTCTAAGAAACCCTTCTCACATTTGTCATCCCACACGAACTTATCTCCTTTACGAGTGAGCTTCGTCAATGGTGATGCCAAAACGGAGAACTTCTCCACGAACTTTCTGTAGTAGCCTGCTAACCCAAGGAAACTACGAATTTCCTTGACATTCTTTGGCCTCTCCCATTCGGTAATGGCTTCTATCTTCTTGCTATCAACAACAATTCCCGATCCCGAAACGAGATGCCCGAGAAAGCCAATTTTCTTTAGCCAAAATTCACATATAGAAAATTTGGCATAGAGTTGCTTCTCCCGTAGTGTCTCAAGGACAAGTATCAAGTGCTCCTCATATTCTTCTTCACTCTTTGAGTAAATCAAGATGTCATCTATGAACACAATCACGAATCGGTCTAAGTATTTATGAAATACTCGGTTCATCCATGAATGCCGCTGGGGCGTTTGTTAACCCAAACGACATAACAAGGAAATCAAAATGTCCATACCTTGTGCGAAAAGCACTTTTTGGTATGTCATCTTCCTTAATCTTCAATTGATGGTAACCCGACCTCAAGTCGATCTTTGAAAACACCGTTGCCCCTCATAGTTGGTCAAACAAGTCATCAATCCTAGGCAAAAGATACATATTCTTGATTGTGACCTTGTTCAGTTGACGATAGTCAATACACATTCGAAGTGTCCCATCTTTCTTTTTCACAAAAAGAACAGGAGCTCCCCACGGGGAGTGGCTGGGTCTAATGAAACCATTATCCAAAAGCTCTTGCAATTGGGTTTTCAACTCGGTAAGTTCAGCGGGTGCCATACGGTATGGCGGTATAGAGATTGGGTTCGTACCGGGTTCGACCTCGATCACAAATTCAATCTCCCTATTAGGTGGAAGCCCCGGTATGTCTTTAGGGAAAACATCCGGATACTTACAAACCACCCTCACATCATCGATGTTCGTTTCCTCTTTGGTTATGTCAACCACGTATGCTAGATATGCGTGGCATCCCTTTCTCATCCTACTTCTCGCTCTCACGACGAATATGATATAGTTGTTTGATCTCCCTCGATCACCCTCGAAGCATAGGGTCTCCCCATCATTGCCTTCGAGTTCAACAACCTTCGTGTAACAATCTACCCTAGCATGGTTCTTTTCTAGCCAATCCATCCCTAGGATTGCATCGAATTCAATCATGCTCAGCAGTACGAAGTCACACGTCAAGGTTTGACCATTAACTTCCACCCCACAAGATGGATAGTAACAAGTTCTTTCCACGCCATCCCCTAGTGATGTTGATACCACTAAGGTTTGCATCAACGGTGCGGATTGCACTTCCAATTCCTTGGCGAACGCTTCACTCACAAATGAACGTTGCGCCCCGGGTACCGATAAGGATTTGCGCATTCTTCCCATTAATCTTTAGTGTCCCTACATTCATGAACCATGTAAGACATCTTTCCTACCCTCCCTACTCATTTATAGAAGGTTACAATGTTCACACACACGTTAGGGATCAAGAAAAGGTCTTAACGTCGCAAAACGGTGCGAAAAATCGGTTTTCGGCATTCTGGGTGCCAGGCACGGCGTGCCTGGGGGTAGGCACGATCGTGCCTGGCTTGGAAAAAGCCTAGGGAGCTACTGCCATGTAGGCACGATCGTGCGTTCCCTTAGGCACGATCGTGCCTGGGCGAAAACAGCCCGAAATTGCCCGAAATCCTCCCGGTTCGACCCCAAAGCTTCGTGCAATGACCCCAACGACTAGTAACCTCAATTTATGGACTAATTAAGGATAAAACACAAGTATACAAGAGGTAATACCTGCAACGGAATCCGGGTTAGCTTGAGCATCCGCCTCCGTCATCGCATAGACCCTAGCTTGGGCCCTTCCTTGATTCACGGATGGCGCGTTGCTCGTGTTTGCTCCCCCATGTCCCCTTGTTAATTGGGAACCCCGGGCTTGGTTTTTTTGTTCCCGTAGCCCCGCTACTTGGTCCCGATGACCTTGACCCACCCAATTGTGGGCAATTCATCTTCAAATGCCCGGCATCCCCACATTGGAAGCATTTAGGAGGGTCACGACACTTGCCAAAGTGGCTCCTTTTGCAATTATTGCACCGAGCTACCCCCGAGGTCCGTGATCCTTGTCCATTCGGGCCTTGGTTCCCCCTAGGTGGGGGCGGTGGTGTTCGGAAAGATCCTCCTCCATGGTTTCCCTTTTTATTGGAACCTTGAGGGCCATGACTCTCCCCCTTTCTCTTTTTCGCCTCTTCGGCATCTCTCCTCTTCCTCTCCTCCCACTGTTTCTCCCCTTTCAACCCTTGGTCAACCACTTGAGCAAACGTCATGTTTGGCAATTGTGTTGCCCTATCGCGTATTTCCAAGTCTAGAGCATCCCAGAAGTGGTTCACCATCCGATTCTCATCACAAGCATACTCAGGTATGTAGTCGGCAAGATCCCTGAACTTGTACTCAAGTTCCCTCACCTTCATGTTACCCCCTTGGGTTAGAAGGGTGTATTCCCTCACCTTCTTGTTCACCTCGAAATCCGAGTAGTATTGTGCGAAGAATTCCTCTCGGAAATTCTCCCAAGTGACGGTCTCACCATATTTGCTTTTGGTCCCATCCCACCACTTGGACGCCATACCTTCAAGTAACCTCACCGCAACCCTTAGCTTATATTCGGGGGTGAGTTGCATGTCCAGGGCCGCCTCATTCAGCCTCTTGATCCACTGCGCCGAAATGGAGATGTCACCTGTTCCATCGAACGGTTTGCACCCCAAGTCTCGTGCCTCTTTGATGTACTTGGAGATCCTTATGATTGGACCTCCATCACCCCGGCCCCCATGTGGTTCAACGTGGGCCCTAGAGTCGCCATGGCTTCTTCCCCTTGAAGCCCCTCCCGAAGTTCGCCCTCCTCGGCGCCTTTGGCGTTCCCTCCTTTCCTCGCGCTCCCGCTGATATTGCTGGAGCAGCGCCTCAATTCTTGCTAGGGAGTCATTCTCCCCTTCTTCATCACTCACATCATCGTCATCCCCTTCGTAAGGGGTCTCAACCGGCTCGGTTTCCGGTTGGTAAGTCGAGTCCTCATAGGACCAGTAGGTTTCACTTTCTGTGTCGACATGACCGTCACTCACGGTCTGTGATCGGCCTCCACGGCCAGCCCCTCTAGATGCCCTAGAGGTCCTTCGACTGCCCTGTCCAGTCTCCACTGGTACACGGCCGGTCGGGTTCCTCCTAGTAATCCTGCCACCACGGTCCATTTCTGAAAGAATTTTGGAAAGAGTCGTTAGACTCGCATGAAATGTCAATTGACGGATAGGTACTTAAGACACATTTTGGCTCGAGTCACCGCCATACCAATTGCTAAGGGTACCATCTTAACAATTAGAGACCTTGCAACCCAAATACCAAAAGCTCTCCAAGTACAAAACTTCTATGCTCATGGTTTTCAAAATCTTTTCAAAAAGAGAATTTTGAGACTTCATTATGAAGTTTATGGACTAAGGCTCTGATACCAACTTAATTGTCACGCCCCGGACCTCCCCGGACACGTCAACAACCCGCCGTACAATACGAATAGTCAACCGCAGTCCAACACATTCATATTATACAAGGCGTCTTGAATATCATTCACACACATAACATCCATAAACAAACATAATAAGTAATTCGTAACGCAGCGGAAAACATTGTTTAAAACAAAAGGGCCACACAGGGCTATTCATGAGCACGCAGGCTCTATAGTAAAATATCCATGAGCATGTTTAATATTGTTCAAAACAGAATGGAGAAAGCACGAACCACGTCTTCTCTCCAAAGGATCACCCGAGCAACGGGCACAGATAGCAAGCTCGAGCTTCAACCTGAAATGGTGGTGGGACGCCCCCGAAGGGGTCAGTACTCTATACGGCTATAAAGTACTGGTGTGGATGGCATCTAAGGGATATACAACAAGTATTTCAAACACAAGACCCTCAAATAGGGTGATAATACAATATAGTGGTAACCCTAAGTTACCCCGTTTTAAAAATATATACTTACTTTATATAAAAGTCAAGTAGTCGGCCCGTGGGCCCATGTTCATTTAGAAATCACCATTCCCATTCTCCGTGACTATGAGCCACGACAATTCATAGAGTTCATTACATTACCATTGCATAGCAAGGGCTCGGCCCAACTACATTTCTATGCAATCCTTTATGTCAAGTTCGTTATATTACATTTGCATCCTACCACATTTGCATAGCAAGGTCTCGGACCAACTACATTTCTATGCAAATCACAATTTACATGGCAAGGTCTCGGACCAACTACATTTCCATGCAAATCACAATTACATCCTATCACATTTGCATAGCAAGGTCTCGGACCAACTACATTTCTATGCAAATCACAATTTACATGGCAAGGTCTCGGACCAACTACATTTCCATGCAAATCACAATTACATGGCAAGGGCACGGCCCAACTACGTTTCCATGTAATCTTAGAGTCCGGCTCTAATTCTTCATTATAGTCCAATTCCTAAGCAACTCTATGCCTAGAATTGACATCTCAATAATCTACCTTGGGTCATTCTCAATGACCGCCCATAACTTGCCCTTAGTTTCATACTAAGTCGTTTTATACACTTGAAGTACATTCAAGTTCATTCCATACAATCCAATACTTAGGATCAATTCTATCAACAATTTCAAATAATCACTAACTAGTATTTTCAATACTATTAAGATTATTGTCATTATACAAATATCTTCATTTGTAATTCTCTACATATTTATAAGTATGTAGCATCAACTTAAATATTCAACTTCAATACATAATATCCATTTATGTATCCACATATTTAATACATGAGTAAAATTCCTATTTCGCAAAATAGTTCATTTATAACTCATTTAATCTCTCCTATTATACATACATCCTCAAATCATTTCCAATTTCATTCTTTGGGAACTATATCAATATTTCATCAATATTTAATCATCATAATCCATGAAAAATTATGATTTAGGCATTTAGGTAATCTCATGCTTAACCTACAAGTTGTAAGCAATTAGATGTCGATCCTCACCTTAATTGAGCTTTAAACTCTTCCTTCTTGATCCAATGGTCAAAGCTTCGGTCAAGGTGGGTTAAGAACTTATTCCTTGCTTAAATATGATTGTTAAACAGCCTCTTCAAAGTGCTAGCTCAACCCCTAAATGTCGATACAAAAACAGCCCCTAGAACAGGCGCTTTTCCGGCGAATTCGTTCCCTAGCCTTTCAAGGTTTTGTCTAGGTTAGTATCTAACCTTTCCAACAAATAAAGTCACTATATAATAACATATTATACACTTCAACAAGTTTATAATAGCTCTTCAATCATCCATATGATTTAGACAATAGAGAGGAAGGTTTTGGATTCAAACTTACTTTGAATACAAAAACGTAATCTGCGAGGTTGCGTTTTGTTCGGACGATTTGGAGGTCTTCCGCTACTCCGTTTTCTGCAAACCACGCCTTCACGGTTTCCTCTTCTTGAGAGCTTTCTTTGGGCACCTCACACGCCTTATTTGGATAAGTATAGCTCGAGATATGAACCAAACAAGCAACCCAACGCACTGGAAAATGGACCTGCGGCAGCTTCCCCTTTCTCTTGCTCTCTTGGTTGTGTGGCTCTCTCCTTCTCCCTTATCCTTGGGAGTTCGAATGAGGGGTGAGGGGGAGGTGTTTAGGAGCTCTCAAAATGATATCTAAGCATGTGGTTCACAAAAAGAAAGGGTAGGGTGTTTGATTGCAATTAAACATGGTGTGGACCTCCTCTTTTATTTTCCTTTTTGTAATGTTGTAGCTCTCAAGTCAAATGTCCGCCCCACATAGTTGTCTCACCCATTTTTCTTTGTCTTGCAGGTACCAAGGTCATGTGGGATGGTTCCCAAATGATCCCATTCAATTTGGGGTCCAAAATACCTACCAATACTTCCAAAATGAAAAGATGGACCCTATTGTTTTATCCTTGTCATGAGATGTCTTTTTGTACTCCTTATAATTTATATAGACCAAGTCAACTCCCTACATCATTTTATTGGTCTCAACCATGTGTAGGATCATCCCAATAATTTACATGATGAATACTATAGAAGAAAAACCTACTCCCATTATTTAGCTCAATAATGTCAAAGATGGGGCTATAGGCATTTGTATTCTTCCTTAGTCATTCTATCACTTATTTTGACATTTTTCATACATATTATTGGGCTAATAACCGTGTGGGTCACTCCCGAGTGGGTCTAGGACGCCATTCTCGAATACTTGCTATTTTTAGCAGGTTGGGCCCAAATTAATGTTTGGGCCGCCCGACCTTCCTCAAATTGTCTTGAAAGATTATGTAACATTATTTAGATAATGTTGGGCTCTTATGTTCATTATTAAGGCCCAAATAAGTATTTGCAAACCCGATACTAATATACGAGTTTGAACAATACAAAAATCAATCATGCGCTACGTAAAACATTAATCGTTTTACAATTGTTTGGAAACCGAAAATTCAATACATAGAATTTTTTTTTTTTATATTGAGTTTTTCAAGGACGTTCGGGTGCGGTGTCACAGACTAGAGTAATAATGAAATCATAGTAATTCATGTTCAAGTTTTGAGCTTAAGTCACCACAACCAGAGGCGGATCTACCCTCAAGGTAATGGGGGCACTTGCCCCCAATAAACTCCATTTTTTTTATTATGTAATATAATAATTTTGTATCTTAAAAAAACTGCCCCCATTAAATATTTTGTGATGCCCCCAATAAAGTAATTACAATACCTCATATTCCATGTACCATTTTAAGTTACTAAAGCAACCATGTATAACTATCATTGTGTTTATTATATTGTTCGAAGCAAATTAAATTGAGGAAAATCAAGTAATATAAAATTATGAGAACATAAAATTGATGTGTATAATGTATATAATCGATTCTAAATGAGATAAAATTAATTTAATATAATTTTAATGATGTTGTTTTGTCAATGTTAAATGCCTAAAAAGAGGTTTCAAAGTTCAAACAATATTCAAGATAAAATTTATTTAGTCATAAATAATGAATAAATAAATTTTAATTAAAAGTGAATGAAAGAATCTTGTTTTAACGCAAAAATTATTAGAATAGTATTTCAAAAATGTTGTTTAGTTTTATACGGCATATTATTAATGAAATTTAGCCCTTTTTAATTGCATAATTATAGAAGTTAGCGAATTAGTCATGCAAGAATTTGTTTGGTACAATCGAAATGACTTGTTCTATTTAATGATAATCCTTATTAACTATTAAAATCAATTAAAAAAATGAAAAAACATATAAAAAGGTACAATCGAAATGAGATATCAAGTGTGTTAAAAAGAGAAAATTTCCTAAAATAGGATTAAAACAAAATTTAAGTTCATATAAATATGAATATCTTTGTTTTAATCTCAAATTTTGACTCATTCTCTCATTTTTTGGGAAGTTTTAATTTCTTTATTTTTTTAATAGGACTAAATACTATTAGGGGAATAAAACATATGTAATCCTTTTTTTTTAATTTTATATATGTTTTAGTACTATATTGATCAATTTCTATATAAAATGCATTAGAAATATTAAATTCCTACTTTAAAAAATCACTAGACATATAAAATCTAGTACTCCGTAATTTATATGCTAAATCATATGGAGTACGCATAACTTATATGCTAACTTATAATTATACGTAGTACTAAGTGCGTTCCGCTCAAGTCTGCCAAATACTATTCGAATACTTCCTAAATTTCTTAAAACTTTGCTAATTTTGCTTTTACGATTGTCTCACTAATTTTGTCATTTTCCTTATTGGGTAAAGAATTTGTGATTTCAGATAATTCTCTCTCCTCTGCACAAATTTCAACTACACCGTTTTTACCTTATTCATCTCCTTGCCGGTCAATCTTGACAAAGTTATAAAGGACGGAGAGAGTGGAATAGTAAAAATTGTGTGGTTCAAATTCGTGCAGACAAGATAGAAATGAACAGAGTCACAAGTTCATTGCTTTAAAATGAAAGTGACAAAGTTTTGGGACAAACAAAAAAGAAACGTTAATAGTCCGGTGGGAGAGATGTAGTGTAAGATAGCGCCCCCAATACATATTTTTCCTGGATCCGCCATTGACCACAACACCACATTGTAGTAACGAATAGTCATATTTATGTAAATAAGTTTTATTTTAGTAATATTCTTACAAAAAACCCATATACTTATATATTATATACTATAAACAATATATTATATATTAGTCACACATTCATACATTTTTTCTATTACTTACATTTTTAACTAATACTAGTTAATTGGTACATTTCTCGTTAAACTATTAAAGTAAAGAAAGTTGTTAATTTTTACATTTCTCATTTTCCTATTAGTTTATTAGTTAATTGGTACATTTCTCATTAAAGTAAAAACAGTTGTTAATTGTTACATTTCTCATTTTCCTATTAGTTTATTAGTTAATTGGTACATTTCTCATCAAAGTAAAAAAAGTTGTTAATTGTTACATTTCTCATTTTTCATATTAGTGGAGTAGTTAATAATTAGTTTATTAGTTTTTGTTTTATCATCCAAAACTAGCTTTTATTCATATCATAAGTTTCAGAATCATTATATCAATCAAAGGAAAAACAAATCTAACACCAACTAGACTCCAACAACAACGACTGTAAACCCTATGATCAGACTTAGAAACGGTCACCTCAGCAACACGATCGCTAACCATGTAACGGGATTGACACAGCCATCCATATTCCCATAGATCCAAATGACAACAAGAAAACAAATGACAAAATAATGAAAACTTATTGGAAAACTTTCACGAACTCTAGCTTCTCGTACAACCTATGGCGGTGGTTCAGGAGGAGGCCATACTACTGGTACCTCTCTAATTGATCCTCCATTGTCGGTCGAAATATGGCCTATTCGAAACCCGTGCAACTCTCCTCGTCCCACACTCGAACCGAAATCACCACTAGCAGTCATCATCTTCTCTATGGTAACCGACAAGCGCAACCCAGAATCAAGCAAACCGGCTTAAAGCAAAACGGCTTCTCCCTCACGAAGACTTGTGTTGCCGCTCCACTGAAACTTAATCGCAAGAAAGGAAAAGAATAAAACCACGTACTCACGATGCCAATCAATCGGCAACAATTGCAGACTCAAACTTCGACGAGCGAAGACAACTCCAAAACCCTACGAAGGAGTACCAGGCCGCGAGAGAACTTATTCTTTTTTTAATTTAATTAGTTTATTAGTTAATTTCTCATTTTTAGTCAATACTTAAAAAAACTAGTGAATTGTTACATTGGTCATTTCCCTATTACTTAATTTGTTAATTAATGCATTTCTCATTAAAGTATTAATTATAAGTAGTTCAAATTATTTATTTTTCAAGGAAAAAAATTGTTACATTTCATATACTCATATTTTAGTTCGAATTTGCTATAATTTAATGGTCACATTTTAACATTTTAAGTAAATTGTAGTTCGAATTTGCCATAATTTTATTAGTCACATTTTATTATTACTATTGTACTCATATAAAATATTTGATATAATTTAATATTTGTTACATTTTTAAGATGGACCGTGGTAGACATTCTGTAGATATGGGTAATTTCTAACGCAACTGAAAGAAGGAGATTGCGACAACTCATCCTACTTCATGCAAAGGCAAAGGTAAAATGCAGGCCGGGTCTTCTTCTCAAAGTTAAGATGATTTTGAAATGGATTACCAACGGAGAGATGGGGATGCGATGTCCGATGAGCAACTACAAAACCTATTGGCCCAAAATGATGGGCGCTTTTTCCAACAACACATCCCGATGACCATTGACGAATAAGAGCTCGAGGATGAGGATGCGGAGGAGGACGAGGGGGGGGGGGGGGGGGGGGGGGCGATGGCACCCCGGATGATGAGCACGAGTTGGAGGACGAAAGTGGTTCATCCCAAATTGGTAAGAAATCTAAATCTCCTATTATTGAAAATAATTTTACAAAGATGAAAGACAAAAAACCGATAAATGGTACGCAAGTTGCAATCATTGCAACAAAGAGTATAGCTTGGGAACTTTCGGCAGATATGGGAGCCTCAAAAGGCATCTTAAGGCCGCACACTTAGTAGAGTATGCGAAAATAGACAAAGGCAAGGGGAAGCAAACACAAATATCGAGGTTTACAAATTCTCAACCCTTTGGTAATTTCTCCTATGATGATAAAAAAACATTTGATTGGTATGTCTCATTTAATTGTTGAAGAAAATTTACCTTATATTTTTTCGCAAAGTCTTGCTCTAAGAGATTATGCTCAAGGTACTTTAAATCCTCAATTTAGAAATTATAGTCGCAAAATGATTAAAAATAAGTTATAAGGCAATATAACTTGGAAAAGGAAAAACTACAAATATTTTTTTGCAAACTTTGATGGACGTGTTAGTATTTGTAGCAATATTTGGGAGGATACTTATCATCATTTATATTATTTGGGCCTGATTGCACATTTTATTGATGATGATTGGAATATGCATAAACGTGTTTTTGTTTTTCGTGAATTTAATGATCGACACATTGCTGATAATATTTATCTTCTCATTGAGCGTATTTTAATAGAGTATAGTTTGATTGATAAGGTGTTTGCCGTAGGTTTTGATAATGCTAGTAATAATACTACTGCTATACCTAGATTGCGTGAACTGTGTGGTGCTTCTACATTGATGGGTAGTTTTTTCATCAACGTTGTGCATGTCATATTTGAAATTTGTGTGTACAAGAAAGGCTAGCCAAATTAGGAAATGCTTTGGAGGTAGTGAGGGGGAAATTAAAATGATTTGGGCTAGTACTCCACTAAAAATGCAATGACGGCAATATTTGATGGATAGACGTGTCAATTATTGTGTTTTTCCAAAAAAATTGACTATTCGTTGGAATAGTACTTATAACTTAATTAAAGTACTTATTACATATAAAGAGCATTTTTCTGCTTTTTTAAGACAATCATGTAACTATATTATAAACTCGGCTGACATTGACTCTTGCGAAAAAATTGTGAATGTTTTGGTATATTTTAACAGTGCAACTCAAACTTTTAGTCATGTTTATACACCTATCGGAAACCAATTTTTTGTTGAAGCGGTTAATCTCGCCGGCGCGTTTTGTGAATTTTCAGATGCCGCTTATGTTAGTTATTTTTGTGATTTCATGAAAGAAAAGTTTTTAAAATATTATTCACAAATTCTGCATATATATGGTATTGCATTTATTCTTGATCCTCGTTATAAACTTGCTTATTTGGGAAATTGTATAGATTACTATTATGCTTCCTTTTTCCAACTCAAGAGTTCGACGATAATCCCATAGACCCTAAACAAGAATTCAACGAGGTTAGTAATTTATTTAATCAATTATATAATAAATTTTTATGCACAATATGGTAATGCACTCCCTCCCGTGACGCGACCATCTTTTTCATATAAAGGAAAATCACTTTTTAAATTTGCATTTGGCAATCTTATGAAAAAGTAAAACAACTCCCGTTAATGAACAAAGCTCAGTTAACGAGCTTGCGATATACTACCTCCGTCCCACTAAGATTGGGACAAGAGAATGTGGCACGATTATTAAGAAAAGTGGGTTTGTGTGGTTGATATTAAATTGATAAAGTAAAAATAAAGTAAAAATGATTTAGAGCCACACAAACTTTACCAAATTTGGTATGGGACAATCTTAGCGAGACGGAGGGAGTATCTAACATTTCCTGTTGATTATGAAGTAGTGGATGACTTTGACGTTCGAAAGTGGTGGAAGGAAAAAGAAAGAATGTTCCTAATTTTATCAAAGATGGGCAAAGCAAGTGCTAGCAATGTCGGTATCAACAGTTGCCGAGGAACAAGAATTTAGTGCGACCGACAACGTTCTAATTGATTATAGAACGAGATTGAGCTCAAACTCTCTTGAGACGCTTGTTTGCTTCCACGATTGGTTGAAGGCCCAACGTAGAACTCAAGAAATGACCATCACCCCCACCCGCCACTTTATGGAGGAAACAACCGAATGCGGAGATTCCGATTGATTATTTAATAAAAAATTTATTTCATTTATTTAATTTTTCTCAAGTCCTAAATGTACTTATTTCAAATAAATATACTTGAACTTTTTATATATCAACTCTCTTAAATTTATTAGACAACAAAAAAAATACATTTAGCCCGGAACCGGCACGGTAAACCGCCGGGTGGCCCAGCTACCCGGGCCGGTTCCGGTTCCACCTTTCCCAAAAAAAAAGCCCGGCCGGGCCCAGGCCCGAACCGGAACCGGCCCGGGTCCACAACTTGTCGATAGATACTGAGTCAATCCCAAATACGTAGTACCGTAGTATGATATTAATCCATTAAAAGTGTAAGGATTCTAAAGTTGATTAAAATCACAGACATCATTTTAGTCAACTAAATGATACTCGTATATGTCACAATACCACCACTAAGAAAATTTTAAAACAATGGGATTTAATATATTAGTAATAACTGACTAATAACATTACGTAGCGCAATCCACAACCGCAACACTGTAATGCAATCCGCAATTTGAAACCATGGAATGTAAATGGGCATGCTTACGGTGGGTGTTCGTTTAAGAGATCAATAATGGAAAATCTTTATATTCCAGAGAGAATGCATCTAGCTACACTCAGGATTTTTATTTTGGACTAAAATTTGCTAGTCTGACCTGATCCGGTTTGATTTGTTTAAAATTGATCTAATCTGTAAATGTCTGGTCTCTGTGTATTTTATAATTGTCCAAATTCTAATCTTATCGGATATGTTTAAGTCTTATTGGCTGGTCTATCTGGGAGACTGGGACTGAAAACATCGTTGCTCCATCATGCTACCTATTTACATGCCCTGTGCGTGTACTATTTGGAATTAATAAATAATAATAATAATAATAATAATAATAGCAATATTCAGCAAATTTATCAGGTTAAATACAAAAGCATTAGTACAATTACCGGTGGAATTTACTAATACAAAGTTCACTTGTTTCTTTATAAGACATCTAGTCTGCATCAGTAGTGTCCTCAGCAGATTTCTTATACTCAGGCTTCAGCTCATATGTGCCTTGGTTTGCTCCCCTCTTATTGTACACTGACAGCTCATTTAGGATCTCCTTCAAAAATTGCTGCACAAGAAGGACAAGGAATTAAGGAAACATATATGGAGCATGTCAAAATGCTCTATAAGGAGCATGTGATGCATGTGATGAATTAAGGGTATGTTTAGACCGCAGGCAAATTAAATACAAAAAACCAAGGGAAGTTATTTCTCAAGTTTGGCCAATGAAAATCAAATACAATTAATATTCTTTGTAAATTCATATATACTTATATTTCAGTGTTTAGGAGTAAAGATGTGGTTTCCCTACATTACAAAACTATGTTTTTATCTCTAAATAGGAGTAAATTAATGCCACAGTATAGCAACACTAATGTGGCAGTGTTAATGACACAATTGACAGCATTTCCCAAGCATGACAATAATTACTACTATTATGGGGCAAACATAATAATCCTATTCTAGAAAACCATACTGTTTCTACTCCCATTTAGGGCAATTTCTGTCAAATAAACAATTATATACAAATATCAAGATCAAATCATGGAGCTTAGCAGATGTTATATTTTCCCCATATTTTTTCTTTCTAATTTTTAACCATATTTACCTTCCTACTTTTTCCCTAATATTTTCCAGGATCCAAAGTGACCCTAACAGATCAACAAATTGATAATGTTTTAACGTTATACAGCAGGCAACTTGATACAACTACTTGATGGTGGATGGAATTTGAGATATCACATCAGGACATGCAACATCCAAATATATTTTGTTATATCTCATCAAGATGAAACAAAATGATGAAGATATATTATTGTAGTAACATACCGCAGGCTGGTCTGTTTCTTGGACAAGCTGCTTCAACGTCCAATTAGGTTGCCTTTCGAAAAGCTTAAACATGATATCCTCCAGTTCTCCCCGATCCCTTCTAGTTCTTTTTACTTCAGGTCCTTTAACTGGAGTTGCTTTCTTTTTCTCCTGCACACAGATAAAAAAAAACAGCATCTTTGTCATTTACTCATTAATCAGTTTTTATTGCTCGGTTTGTCCTTGAATTTTGTGTTCAATGTAGAAATTTTAGAATATGCAAACATCTCTGCTCATATAATAAGAACCATCGACGTTAAAATGGTTCTTTTGCCATTTAAAACTTCATTTAACCATCCAAATAACTCACAACCCCGTTAACAAGATAGCTATCCGCTAATCGGTTACTTAGCTTATGTTCATTCATTCAGCAGTTATTCAATCCCTAAACAACATCGCATCTCAGTATAATTCTTATATATCAGGGCGAGAAATGAGAACAAATTATTCGTACTCATTTGATCTGCTACAGTTACATTCCACAAACCAGGTATTCATATATTACAAGTACTCCATTGCCTTAGAACTTAATCTTATACGGTTTGTCGGTTTGTAATGGATCTGCTATTGGTTCTTCTTCTGAAATTTGAAAATAAACTTTGAAACAAACCAGTGCTGCTAAACATATTTGCACGGTTAGTTACATTTACTGTAACTGCATCTGCTTCTCCCTAATATTCAACCTGTGATTTCGACCTTCATCACCAATCTCCACTTTGATTTAGTAAAATTAATCATATTCACAAAATGTTTGCGGAAACGCCTAAGTCGGTCGTTATTTGTCAATTATCAAATACTACCTTTGTCCGACTAACAATGAAACATGAGGAGGTGGCACAATTATTAAGAGAAATGGGTATATGTGGTTGATATTGAATTGATAAAGTAAGAATAAAATAAGAATGATTTAGAACCACACAAATTTTACCAATTTTTTTGAAATATAGTCTCTTTACAATATTAACAGTTATATACAAGATTAACAGTCTCTCCCGGGGAAAGACTGCGTACATCCGACCCCCCATACCCCACTGGAGGTGGGAGCCTTTGCGGTACTGGGGTAATGATAATGATTATGATGACTTTTAGGCACATCCTAAAATCTAGATCATATTCTTGATTCTTCAATTACTATTCGAATGAATCTAACTTTATTTTTATTCTTTTAATTTAACTCTTTAGTTAATTCAGGGTATTGGTAACAAAATAGACACCTCAACTGTTGCTCATTACAGACCACCATAAGCCAAACCACACAAATGCTTGCTATTTTTCTCTTTTAATTTATCAGATTTGATTTAATATGACCAGAGTTACTTTGATTAAATCTGTGTTTTGAAACACATGTTACGTCATATAAGTATATGACTGATACTATGGTTGCACATTTTTCAGAATTTTCTCTTTTAATTTCAACACAATATAATTCTTTTTATAAATGCCGCCTCAGCATCCATATCATATGAGTGTTTAAGATATGGAGATTTCACCTTTACTAAACCAGCTTCCCTTTGCAAAGGTTTTGGAAATGTTTAATATCCTGTATTACATACATTATGGAGGTAAGTATATACTACCCCAAATATATGTTAAAATGATTTTATTTATTTATCCTCAAAAATATGAAATGTTAATCTTGTATGATATTGATTTGGAATCCATTAAGGGCATCTACATCATCTACAGAGCAAAAGCCCATATTGTGGTCTACAAATTTTAAGCATTCGTTGGGCCCAAATGTTATTCTTTTTATTTCACTCAAAAGTTATACTTCTAAGTTCTAAATTTCGTAAATTTATAATCATACGTTGGGCAAAAATCGCACGTAGTGCGTACTCTCCTAGTCTATCAATAAGGGGTTATGTTTTAACTTTTTTACTCTTGATACACCTGTTAGCTAGGGATTCGAGTACACAAATATGACAATTCTTTTACGTATATCTGCTACACACAAAATCATCTAGACATAAGCATCCAGCATTCCGAAAATCAAGAACATCATATAACAGAACATATATCCAACTTATAAAGCCAAAAAAGGTTATGAATATTAATTGAGTACCTTAGAAGTTGATGCAAGCAAACCCATCATTCCAGGCATAGACCTCATGTGTACACCACGATCATTATCGATTATCTAGTTAACAACATGAACCAATTGTAATTAGATGTTAAGATAAACAAATAATGAGAATAATAATACTCCCTCCGTCCCTAAATAAACTTCCATTTCACTTTTCGAGAGTCAACTTAAATCACACTTAAACTCTTACTTTATATATCAAAAATTTATAAAAATTGAATTATTTTTTGCAGGCTTTGTAGCGGGTTTAATGTAGTTTCTGAATATGTATATTTAATTTACTAAAAATAATCCGAGTTTTCACAGGGATCATTTAACTTTATCGCTGGTCAAACTTCGTAACCCGTAATTGGAAGTTTTATTAGGGACGGAGGTAGTAATAAAAATAATGTCAGAAAGTTAGAAAAGATAACATCCATGTTACATAAAAAAGAGCATATATAAAATCCGCTTCACCTGTATTTGTCTGTTCTTAACCATTGATTTATTTGTTCTTTCCCGACACATTTTCCTGTATTCGTCCATATTCCTAGTGTGAGGCTTCATGTCAAATTTATGATCAACTTTCCCTTCAATGGAAACCTTTCCTGTGAACAACCCCCACCCAAAAAAATCATGGGCAATATTTTAACAAATTACTTGTAAAGACGATATACCGACTACTACACATAAAAAATAAATGCAATTTATTAACAAGAACAAGCCGCACACCTTGATTTGTCTCTGAGAAGATACACATTGGTACAAAATCTTTGAACATATTCAAAGAGTACCCTTTGGGGATGTTCCCAACATCATTATCAGCCAGTTCCATGGTAAACTGATTATGAACACACGTGTTAGAGAGATATACACACACTGACACACAACGCAATGTATGCAATATAGTATTATGTCACCAAAAGGATAGGAATTTGGACCATGAAGAAATGTATAAATTAAATAAATAAAGGGTGTGTGGTATGACTCAAAGGATAAGCTTGAAGTATTAATTCACAAATTGAAGACATTTCTCTTAACAGAAACAGATTCAGAGACATCACTCGAATCACAAAGTACGAATGGATCCGGAACAATACTATAGTTGATAAATAGTTGACAGGTTTCCAATATATATGTAAATTATTATTGATTTGCAGGAATAGATGGAGAAGGAGAGAGAACGAAGCATGTTACTTGGTGAGAATCTTCTGGTTGGAGAGGATCGAGAGAAACAACGACTTTACCAACTAGCGGAATATCTGTGGAGGAGCAGGAGGAAGCCGTCGCCGCCTGAGACTGCCATGATTTGGAGACAACTAATGGACACTTCATCAGCCATACTGGTCTGTCAGCCTTGCCGGTATCCACTGTGGCGGCAGCCATGGTGCTACTCACATTACTGTCTTCTTCCTTCATCCTTCTTCCCCGACTCCTATGGTTTTGTCTGTCAGATTGACTTTCCTTTTTATTATCTCACGGTCTTCCTTATTCTGACTACAAAGATGACTGGAACTCAGGCGTCTCAATTGGGGGCTGATCTAGCTCTGGCATTCAGGGATCAAAATTTAATTAAATAATGGATGTTGCAACAAAAAAAAGTCGAAATGTAATATAATAATGTCTATTCAACAAAATGTGTTTTGAGGTATACAATAACATTCATTGCAAGTAGCAACAAAAAATCAAAGATGTTCACAATGGGATTACTAGTTACTAACTTACCAGTTACCACACTAATGTAGTACTAACCAACTAAATAATTGGATTAATAATAACAAATCACAATCAAATTCATACTACAATAAATGATGTTCACAAATGACAAATTAGAACTTACAAATGGCAAATCAAATTCTTAATTAATGTCCAAACTTGCCTGTGGCTGACTGAAATAGTCAAATCAAATCAGAAGTAAACATGAATATAAAGCCATAAATTATATAAAAGTCTAAACCTCAATGCCCAACATATCTTAAAGATTGAAAAGTATAAAGATCAAAACCATTAATTAAAGGCTTAAAGGAGTTAAAGACCTAAAGCCTCCTGGACTGATTTATAGAGATGATATTTAAACAGCTAAACCATTAACCTGGAATTCTGGAAAGTGGAAACCATTACGGAGTAACAAACTTAATAAGGCCGTAATTTTGTCTGAACAGTTACACAAACTTTACAACCCATCTCTGAAAATTATTAATCTGGAATTCTGGAAATAAGACTGTAATTTATTCTCTAAACAGCTAAATGGAGAAGAGCATATATATGTCTATGAAACTAAAAAATTAACAATTAACAAACTTAAAGGCGAAGAAGAAATGGCTCACAGTAGAGGCTGTCGAGTAGCAGCTACTTGGCTAGAGGCTAAGGCTGACCGGCCGTCTGATGGCCGACCAGAGACCGGGTACCGGTGTGTGAGACGTGCTTGACCGGCTGAAGAAGATAGAAGAGTTAGACAAGATGAAGAATTGGAGTTGCGATTGCGGATTTGCCGCTAATCAATTCTAGGATACAGTATCCATTCCTTGCTTTAGACTTCGCGAACCTATTTTTCGCCCACAAGTTCTCGCCCCTACGGACAACGGAGTATGTTTCAACTTACAAGCGTTTACTAGTTACTACCCGTGCTCTACTTTTTTTTATAAGAAAATTGTTAAAACTAGGGCTGGTCAAAAGACCCGGCCCCTTGATCCATCTTGGAACATTTGAATTCCCCTCCGAAAATGTGTCGTTATATTTGGGACAAATTATTTGTGTCCCGTACAGATCTCAAATCGTTTCAAAATAAAATGAGATTGAGATAAGAAAAATATATTATGTTGTGTTTCGTTTCATTGTTCCAAATTCAAAATTGTATTTTGTAGTTTATCAGTGAGTCTACCATCACTTCAATTAGTAGTTCAAATAATGGTACAAAGTAACATTCATTTTATTACACAACCCAAATATCAATGAGTATTATGTGTAAGACTATGAGTAATTTAACATGCAGAACACCTAAACGGTTCTAAACTACAAAGTATGAATTATCTTCTATGTACCAAAAAGAAACTCACTATTATTAAAATTGATTTAACTATTTGAAACAATAAAAAGAAACTCACTTTTAGCAATTTCTTTTTGCAAATTTCGTGGTAGTATTGTGTTTGTTGGAGTGTTTTTTTGCTATAGTTTTTTGTTTCTCGCAGTTATCTTGTTAACCTTTGATTTTTTTGTTGTGTTGCATGTTTTCTTTTTGCATTTTTCTTGATGTGTTGTGGTTTCTTGTTAATCGTTTTGCTTTTTTTTGTATTGCATTTTTCGCTACAATTTTTTGAAATGTCTCATGTTGTCCCGTTTTGTCTAGGTACCGGTTTAAAACGGGCAACAGCAGGACAACGCCTTGTCCCGTTCTGAACCATTATTCTAAATCGGGTTCAGGATCAGAACAGTCAAATTCTGGTCCCGTCCCGGTCCGTGCCCACCCTAGTTAAAACAGGTAAATTATCCTAAATAGGAATAAGACATTTGTGTTATTTAATATCTACAATTCTATAAACATGAATAATGTTATTAGGGGTATAACGGGCATAGAAAAAATGTTGGTGGTTCTGTGTGCATTAGACCATTGTACGGAATGCATAGTTTACTTCACCCCTAAATCGTATGGCAAGCAAAGGAGTGAACGGAAGCCTTCCGTTCCGTTTACACACGATTGAATGTGTATCCCATGGGACTCACAATTGAGAACCCTAAATCAAAGTGTTATCTATGGCTTGCATATCTTCAATCTTAGATAGTTCTAAAAATTGCAGCTAGGATCTCGAAATCCCCATCCGTTCCTCTAGCCATCACACTCCTCTCCCCTAACCGCACACCATTATTGTCCCGATCTTTATGCACTGCGGCTGAGACCCGGATAATTGAGCGCATCGCCGACGAGCTTCTAGACCTCACCAAGCTCGAAAGGTACGATTACTACATCCTTTTCCGGCACAACATGGCCCTCAACCGGTACGGACCCGCAGTGTCTGGCTCGGCCTCATATGGCTTCACTGGGCCCGCGGCGGCTGAAATCAAGGCTGCAGAGGAGGCCGTGTTCGATCTAAAGCTGGAGAAGTTTGACACAGCGACTAAGATCAAGGTCATTAAGGAGATAAAAGCTTTTACAAGTTTGGGTTTAAAGGAAGCGAAAGAGCTGGTCAAGAAAGCTCCGGTGGTGGTGAAGAATGGGCTTAGTAAGGAACACGGTTGTGCCATTATCGACAAGCTTAACGAATCGGGTGCCAATGCGGTACTGGAATGTGTGATCCATTTTCTTGCTTCTTATGTATTTTCTGCTCCCAGATGAAGTTGAGCTTGATCTGCTTCAACTACATGTATGTCTGGTTTTGCTTTATTTAGATTGCATGGCTCTAATAATTAGCCATTGTTGTTTTACAGCTGATTATGGCAGGCGTGGCAGTTGTAGTTGTTGATACACTTGGGAGAAGACCTTTCTACTTGGAGGCGTCTCTGGAATTGTACGTTCTCTTTATTTCAAAAGCATCTGATTTTCACTAAACTGCACTTCACATACATCATATGTTTAACTTATATTGTTATGATTGTTTTTTTTTAAGAAAAATGGTTAAAAGAAATTAATTTATTTTCTTTGGTTCATGAGTTCATCTTGAAAATGTGAATGAAAATAGAATGCGATGAAAGTTCTCTAAATGCTCTCCCATTATTTATATTTTCCGTCTTTACATCTTGAAAACGTATGCATAAGATTGAGTGTAACTTTTATGGTTTCTAGATACACCAGAGTGCATATATTAGGGATTTGGATTAGCTATGTTAACCTATGTTAACGAGAGTGCCTAAACCTATGTTAACCTCTTTTGAGGTAAAAAAAAAAGAACATTTAGGACATGTTTACTTTGTTGTTTAATAAACGACGCTTAATAAGACATGGGTTACTAAGCCATTGCTTATTAAGATATGCTTATTAAGGGCATGTTTACTTTGTATTGAATGGGTAGAAGCATAAATCATATTAAAACCGTCCTCCAATATCGCAGCAGGACACGCAAAATTCTCTGTATTAAAACCTTATTGCTACCTTTGTATTACTAATGCATAGAAGCAAAAATGCAAAATCTCATAGCTTACCCAGTAAGCAAAATCTACAGGAAAGGGATTGGGATTATTACTCATAAGCACAACGAATACCCAAATTAAAATGATAATTAGAGAGGACTGAAGAGACGAATTGCAGGGATATCTAACTCACACAAGTTACCTGAGGTGTCGATTGCGACCTCGGAGAAGTTTCCTTGGTGTCCGATTACTTGAAGAGACGAATTAGAGAGTTTTTCTTATCTACTATCTGTGCTTTGGTTTAGAAGAGTGAAGTTTGGCAGAAAGATCTCGTGAGAATGAGAAGGATGATGAAGGGATGCTAGGGTATACATGTAATAAAAAAAATGACAAGCGTGTAAAATAAGGGCACACCAGTCAATATGGAAAGCTAAAGTCGCTGATTAAATAAAACATGGGGGGGCATCCGTTTAATAAGCACCGGTTAAAGGGGGTGTGCGTTTAGTAAGCGTGATTTTACCTGGCCTCAGACGTTTACTTCCAGCTGCTTAATAACCTAATGGTGGGTTAAGCAGCAAAGTAAACATGTCCTTCGGAAATTGGATTAGCTATTTCGAAATAGTTTAGGTGATAGTTGTATGTCCCCCATTTATTACACCTCCTTTACTCACCATTTGAATGTCCTATACTCTTTTGTTTCTAACATCTCCTTTGGTTTTGGTTGATAGTGGTACTTTGATTGGGTAGCAAATTATAAGGCCATTTTCTAATTTTGACAACACTTGATTTTTGCTAGATATGTTTCTGTATATACTATCTTCGTTTATTTATAGACAAAATTTTATGTGTCTGATTGATACTCAATTACAAAGAGGCATATTTTATCAGAATTTTTTGATTCTATTTAGTTAAGAAAATAATAGTTGGTGATGATGGTGAGTGGTTACCCTTTTTTTTTTATATCTGGCACACACATTTCTATTCTTACATGTTATCAGAACTGAAGAAGATGCAGTTTGAACCTTCTTACTACATAAATGTTACAGGAGATATCATCCAAATGCTAAAAAGAGCATGGCACCGTGAAAGCAAAGGAGATTGCGTTGACAGGCGGGGGAGGAAGCAAGACACATAATGAAAGGGCAGCTGCACTTTTTTCCATCTTAGAAGCCAGATCACACATCAAAGAAGACTCCAATTCAAGTGAAAATCGTAAACAGGCTTTCAGTATGGAAGAAGTGGTGCTGCTGCAAAGTCTGCTTCCAGTGGCAAAGCTGCTGCACGGATTGCTTTGCACATGGCAGGTGAAAGGGCACCTGTAAATGCTATAGCGGTTAGTGTGCCTATTGTAAAAAAAAGACATTTTTATTTGTATTTGATAATGACTTTCTTTTATGATTTCAGGTTAAGAGTCTCTTCACCACGGTTGCAGCTTCACGATCATTCACTTCTATAAGTTATGATCTTCTCACGAAAAATGAACACGAATATGTCAAAGTTGAGAAACCCTCCAAAAAGAAAGGTTATGTTCGGCTGCAGACGAAACAACCCGTGGTGATTTGAACATTGAGTTGCACTATGATTTAACACCAAGAACGTGTGAGAACTTCCATCACTTTGTGTGAACGTGGTTATTATGATGGACTGGCTTTTCAATGAGGGTGTTACAGCTGTATGCTTGAAGGTGCAGAGGCAGCTAGAGCTTATTCAAGCCAATCTATTTCGTTATGCTTTTAATAATGCTACAAATTTTCATCTTCCAGCAAGTGTAATCAAGACTCTCAGTAAGCTATGATGCACTTTTCTGTTATAGCACATCATTTATTTACAACAACCAATAACATCACTCTTATTCTTTTTGTAAAAAATGAAAAGTACTCCATATATACAACCTAATGTTAGTATTAGGTACGAGTAGAAAAACTGGGCACTAATTTAGGCACGCAACGCGCGTAAAAAATCTTCACCTGGAAGTAAGAACTCCGCCAACAATAGTTGCCCGAAGTGATTTTGATTTTTCAAATATAGTTGTCTGAAGCTTGTCATGATTTTTTACAATTGGTCGTTGCTATTAAATAGTCATTAAGGAGTTAGTGGGCCAAATTATCAAATTGGTAAAAAAAAATGGGTCATTGAATAGATTGATAAAAAAACCACTTGAGACATATTGGTAAAAAAAGAAGCCTTTGTGACAAATTAGTCAATTTTTTTCTGAGTGATAAACTTTTGATTCTCGACTTTATAATTCTTGATCTTTCATATTTTAAGTATTGTGAAATTGACATTTTAAGTCCTTTTACTTAGATTTCGTCATCAAAAGTGGAAGCCTAAAAATGTCAATGACCGTGTTTGATAATATCATTTATCTGGTAGTTAATAGCGGGTTGAATCAGCATATTCATAATAACGGATTCCGTTAGCTTTTATCACTAACTGTTTTCATTAACGTTTGAAATAAAACGTTAGTAACTTAATTGTTTGCGAATAAATGTTAAGATATAAATGACCATTAAAGATATGAATTTAAAAGTATATATTTTATCTTAACTATATTTATTTTATTTTTAATTAGTCTTTGAAAAAGTTTTAAAAATTATATTTACATTTATTTTAAATAACCATGGAGTAATTTTTTTTAAAAACTAATAAATAGTCATATGAAGGAGAATTCTGGAGTAGATTTTTTGAATGGAGTAGCCTTTAAAAAAACTAATAAATAGTCATATTAAAAATATTATTACTAAAAATATATGAATTTATATTTGTGTGCTCGCATTAATGTACATATCTTAAAAATAATATTGTTAGTAATTATTTAAAAATAAACGTAAACATAATTTTTAAAACGTTTTCCAAAAATTATTAAAAATAATAAGAAATAAAATTAATTTGTATATAAAAAGTTTTAAATTAATTTTTTAATGGCCATTCTATTTTTGAAAAACTAATTGCAAATTTTAAGTTACTAACATTTTATTCAAACAGATAATGAAAGCGGTTAGTTAAAAAAGCTAGTGAATCTGGTAATATCAATATGTTGATTCAACCGGTTATGAGCTAGCAGACAACTAATATTATCAAACACGGTCATTGAAATTTTTAGACCTCCACTTTTGGTGACAAAATCGAAGTAAAAGGCTTACGAATGTCAACATCACAATACTTAGAATATGAAATGTCGGAAATTCTAAAGTCGAGGATCGAAAGTTTATCACTCACAAAAAAATAACCAATTTGTCACTAGGCCTCTTTTTTTATCAATATGTCTCAAGTTTTTTTACCAATCTGTCCAATGATCCTCATTTTTTACCAATTTGGTAATTTGGCCGGAGTTAGTGCTATTAATTTTTTAAAACATCAAATAAACCTTTCTGTTATTTCCAATTCATCAATTAAGTTTTATTAAAAAAAAGTATCATATAAATGCGATTACTTTTTAAATATAATCAATTAAGTCACTTTGACTTGTTATAGCAGATTATTTTAAAAATAATAATAATTAAGAGTATGGATATATATTTATAAAAAATCATATAAATTTGAAAAAAAAATACTACGGTATAATAATACTATAAAAAAATAGTAGAAATGTAAAAATTGATAAATAATTCTAAAATGTTGAATGAAAAATAAACAAATATTGTATTCAAAAGTGAATACTTTATTGTTTATGATTCCTTATCAATTAACAAACTACGCATTCAAATATTGTATTCATATTACACATATATTCGCTCAACCTAAAATGAGAAATTAATGTCCTACAATGACCTTGGGCATTATCACGAACGCGCAACGCGCGTTAGTAAACTAGTGTGGATTGATACGCGTGTAATTTCCGTGTGTATGTTTACGTTTTTAGTTAGTTTTGGTTGTTTAATATTTCGGAAATTACACACTTTTGGTTTAATAGTTATGTTTGTAATTTAGTTGTAATTCATTTAGATTAGGATCATTCTGAACTTAAACAGGTCCAAGATCAATCAAATGATCATTGGTGAAGGAAGGTGCAAGAGTACAAGACAAAAAGGAGGCAAAATCCTGATTTTTGACCTGTACCCGGTCGAGTATACCATATACTCGATCGGGTACCAACTGGACTTTCAATCAGATCAATCAGGAGACAAAAGGGTGTGCAGGGGAAGATTTGGCCACGATCAAATGTAATACCCGATCGGGTACACCGACACACCCGATCGGGTATGCCTTACATTTGCACTCTGAAATCGATCGAGTATGCCTCAAAACTACACTTTTTACACATACCCGATCGGGTACCCTATATATACTCGATCGGGTACCCGAACTACACTCCCAAAAAGCCTATAAATACACCCCCTTCCCTTCACAATTAGATACCAATTCCTTTATACTCTTAAGCTCAGTTTAGAATAACATTTCTTTATATTTTTCTAGCATGTTTAGTCTCCAAATGAGGAGCTAAACTTCCATTTCTTGGTATTGCTCTTGAAGCTTGTTGATTATTAAAGTTGTGAGTTATTTTCTTAACTTCTTTCCTTGAATATTAATTCTTCTTTTAAATACTATTTCTATATCAATGTTGGGGAGTGTTACTAAGATGACAATTAGTTAACATCTTGACATTGGTCTTAGTAATAGTTATTCCTTCCTCTATGTTAATATTGTGGAATGTTACTAAGATGACAATTAGTTAACATCTTGATATTAACTATAGTAGGATTCATTTTCTTTAATAATTCTTCCTTGAGTATTAATTAATTCCTATTCATATTTCATATTAATATTTTGAACATTACTTAAAGGATCAACTAGTTTTGTTTCATATATTAATTATTACTAGAAACGATCAACGAACCGATGGTTAATCGTTGATAGTTTCACAAGTAAGTAACTTCGGTTTGTTAATGCACGGTCGTGGTTAATAAACTTAAGAGGGATTAATTTTGTTGGTTAAACCGAAACCGTTGTGTTGAGGTTATCGATCTCAATTGATTTCATCAAAGAGTTAAGAGATTAAATGCTACTATCAAGTCGGTATATGGCGTTGTTCTATACTTGACTAATAGTAAGGGTTATTAATGAACGGTAGTTGTTAATAACTAACCTCGATGAATTGGATATACTCCTCGAGTGAGTATTCGAGAGGAGATAAGTTATAGATATAACAATGATCGACTAAAATATATCAACAAGTGGAAAGTAGCAATGCCAAGTCCTTTTTATCTTTGAATTAAATCACATATAACTCATTCATCTTCGTGTTTAAATTTAATTAAATCACTCAATCCCAAAACCCCCCTTATTTACTAGTTTTACTAAAAAAAGAATTATTTCTTTCCCTGTGGATACGAACTCTACTTCACATATACTACGTATAAGTGTTAGCATTGTTCTAAAAATCGGCCTAGGTGGACTGATTAATCGGCCTAGGCGGCCTAGTCGGCCCTAACCGTAGAGGCCGAATCGGTCTAGTCGGCCAAAAAATCGGCCTAGTCGGCCGCCTAGGCGCCCCTCAACCGCCCGACTAGCGCCTAGCGAGTTTTAGAACAATGAGTGTTAGTATTGAATTTTATTTTGACGCACCGTGACAAAGTGCCCGTCATGGATGTACATTACTAACCGATCCATATGTATTCTTAGGGTTAAGGCTAATAACTAGTGTAACCCTGATCCTATTCTCCCATGTATATATATGTGTGTTACATGCTAATGAAGATTAAGGCTCTTGAGTTCGTTCATAACACGTTATCAACAAGAGCTCTTTAAAACCTAAACATTTCTTTCTCTATGATCGGCTGAATGTATCATGACCATTAAAGGCATCCTGCGCAGCCAGAGTTATTCACCAGCATCACTCTTCTTTCTTCCATATCCAGATCTTGCCCTCTCTACCGGACCGTTCTGTGGAATCTTTTGGTAGATCGCCGAACACAAAGGTGACTCTAATACGAAGAAGATGGACCCAAGCTGTCACGCCTCAGACCTACCCAGACACGTCAACAACCCATCGTACAGTACGAATAGTCAACTGTAGTCCAACACATCCATACTATACAAGGCGTCTGGAATATCATTCACATATAGTACTCCCTCCGTCCCAGGGAGAAGTTCCCACTTTCCTTTTTTGGTAGTCCCAACAAAAAGTTCTCATTTCCCTAAATGGAAAGTTATCCTACAACAAAACAGTGTCAAACAGTGCCAAACAGTGTCGAAACAGTGCCAAACAGTGTCGAAACAGTGCCAAACAGTAAAATTTACCCCTCAGTAACTTTATTTCCTAAATATGTGTGAAAGTCAACCCGGGAACTTCTCCATGGGACGGAGGGAGTACATCCATAAACAAACACAATGTAAAATATTCATTAAAGCAGCGGAAACATTAATACAAGTGTTCAAGCCACACTTGGCAACTTAGGCATACAAGCTTCCAAATAATTATTTAGAAAATACTCCCTACATCCCGCTATGATTGTCCCTTTTTACCATTTCGGTCTGTCCCACTAATATTGTCTCATACCTTATTTGGTAAAGTTTGTGTGGTTTAAATCATTCCTACTTTATTCTTACTTTATCAATTCAATATCAACCACATAAACTCACCTTTATTAATAACTGTGTCACATTCTTTTGTCCCAAACATAGGGGGGCGGAGGTAGTAATATACATGAGCATTTTTCATATTGTTTTCAAAACATGAATGGAAGAAGCACGAACCAAGTCTTCTTCCCTCGAACTTTCTGAAGCAATGGGCGGTGGTAGCTAACTTCAACTTCTACTTGAAAGTTGAAACAGTAAGGTGACCTCCCCTGTGAAGAGGAGGTCAGTACTTTGAAACAATTGAAAGTACAATGACAACTATAATGTATATAATCAATGTTTCAATTTCTAAGACCCTC